AGCAGGTGGGTGGGCTTCAGGCGAGGGGGCGGGTAGCAGGTGGGCGGGCTGTAGGTGGTGGAAAGGGGGGCCGAGCGTGGCAACCTTGAGCAATTCAACGGTGTAAGTGGGACATGGCCACGTGGCCAAGCCCCACTACGGTCTTCCCCCGAACACAACCCACCCTCATTTTGCCTGTATCTGGCTGGAAATATAGCTTGTATACATTCATTTTTAGGGTGCGTTATGTTCGGGGGAACACGGTAGCAGCGTTGAGCTTCCTCAACGCCCGAATCTGCACGTGTTTGTGGAGACGTCCAGCCAAGTCCCACTAGGCTCTAGCAGCGTTAGTTTTCCTCAACGCCAGAATCTGCTCGTGTTTGTGGACATGTGCAGAAATGGCATTGAGTTTCCTCAATGGCACCTCTCCATGATCAGGTCCAGATTCAGGTGCTTGTACTGCAAGTTCGCCCCCGGGGCTAAGTCTACTAGCGGGGGTCTAGTCTTCCTTCCCAGTATTTTTCAACATGGCCACACTACGGCCGTGAGATTTTCTCATCTGATGGCAGGAGTGGGTGCCTACTCCAAACCGAGTCTAAACCCCGCCTAGTGGGCCTTAGCCCCCAGAGTACGCACATGGCTGGAAGCAGGGACTTTCCCTCCGACCGACTTTTCAGATATCCGCGAAGTCGCCGATGTGCTGGTTGAGCCTGGTTCGAGCCGGTTAATACTAAATAATAATACTGTAAATCTGTAAATTAGAATAGCGTACTAAAAAAATGAACAACTAAAGGGCAGAGGGGCAAGCATGCCGTTTCCTCTCTCCACCAAGAGAGGTAACCTCCCTTCACCGAAGATAGGAAGCTATGCTTGCAGGTGTCCCCTGTACTAGGAGTAGTGGTAGGTAGGTAGCGAAACAAAGATATGTTCCATGACATGGCAGAACGCCAGTTAAAAAATATGTGAGGTGAGAGAAAAAATACATGGCTGTGGCCGACGAGGAGAAGGCATCTTGAAAAAAATAAAAATAAAATGAACGACTAAGAATCATCATAAAATAAAATACTGTAAATTTGTAAAATAGAATGAAGGGCTAATTGCAGAAACGTTGTATGGGTCCGAAGGATCTGTTTTTTGCCAGGAAACTGGGACCCCGCCTGCAAATATTTTTCCTGTGAAACTGCCGGCACCACTAAAACTGCAATGAAAGATATATTTTTGCAACAAAACTTGGGCCCCGCCAAGTTGGGCGGCGCCAACATAATTTGGCTGTGAAACTACCGCGACGCACTGTTTTTGAAACTTGAAGCGATGTCTTTTCATATGAAGGCCGGGAACCGGGCCCCGCGTCCCTTAACAATGTTGTCGTGGACTCGTGGTGCCTCCAACGGGCCGGCATCACGGCCCGAACCCAGAGGGGAGGTCACCATGACCCCTTCCAAACTGTATCTCGCCCCAAAGTGCAATTATAACTCGTTTTTGTGACTCTACTGAAGTTACCCCCCGCAGCGGGGAAACTACGCCGGAGTCACAAAAACGAGTTATAATTGCATTATGGGCCAAGATACAGTTTGGAATTGCAGTTCGGGCAATGTATACAACCCAGCTTTCTGGCCGGGTAGGGTGCCCTTAGTGCAATTGCAAACTGTATCTTGACCAAAAGTGCAATTATAACTCCGTTTTGTGAGTCTACTGAAGTTATCCCTTAGTGCAATTGCAAACTTTATCTTGACCAAAANAACTGTATCTTGACCAAAAGTGCAATTATAACTCCGTTTTGTGAGTCTACTGAAGTTATCCCTTAGTGCAATTGCAAACTTTATCTTGACCAAAAGTGCAATTATATAACTCCGTATTGTGAGTCTACTGAAGTTATCCCTTAGTGCAATTGCGAACTGTATCTTGACCAAAAGTGCAATTATAACTCCGTTTTGTGACTCTACTGAAGTTATCCCGATACTGCAATATCCACAACAGATTGTACCGTAAGAAACGTGCGAAGTAAAGCCAAATGCAAGACTAAAACAGAAGACAAGAAACAATAGCCTACACTAGCTATGAACCTACGCCGATACCATTACACAGAACCACCGCATAAAGGAATCAGAAATCCGAAAAGGTGGTGTACAATCTGAACAGCAAAGCAAAGTCTTGACAGGAATGCAAGCGCTCTCAGCAGGGGGATGGTACATACGAACAAAGCACACTCCAATGAAAAGAGTTTTCAAGCTACGGTCTTCGCTACGGTCTTCACCCGAATAGAACGCCTGGTAATTATCGCCGTATCCGGGCTGAAGGTTGTGCAAAATACAGCCACAATGACCGTGCTTTCTATTAGGGTGAAGACTGTTGACAAAAAAAGCAAAGAATTGCTGCTCGGGGGTCCGACCAGGGTCAGCTGTTGATATCTTGACCAGGCCCGGGAAGCGGCCCCAATGACTGGGCAATATGTTTTGGGATTTACCAAAAAACCTTTATTGACCACTTTTTTTGAGCGACCACTCAGACTGTTTTTGAAACTCACCCCAGAATGAGATGGCAGTGTCATGGCACAACTACAATAGAATAGCGAAACGTTGAATGGGATGAAATGCAGTGAGATATACCTTTCTCGGCCTTTTGGCTAAGATCAGGTGTGGTATCTGTTCTGATCAGTTTAATATCTGATCCGTGGTCCATCGGACCACATTAAAAAAAAATAAAAATGCGGTGAGATGGAATAAGATACTACATCAAATATTAGAGCGTAAAAAATATTTTAAAATAGAGGACACCGAAAAAAAGGACAAGATATAATTACAGTAAGACGAAGATTTGCACAACAAAAAAAAAGGAGAAAAACAGAAACTATAGTGATATGAGATTATGCTGGTGAACCTATACAGCACAGCTTAGCTGGAATCGGCCGTACCGCGAGTGGCCGTGTCACCCGCAGATGTTACCAGCCTGCTAATGGCGAGATCCCACTAGCAAAGAGATTGCTCTGCTTTTCTGTATGTCTACACAAAAGGCATCCACATTCAGGCACTTAGTCCAATCTGCTTGGCTGGTGGGATCTCGCCTTAAGTAGCTCGTTCCTCAACATTTTCAGCCGTCATTACATCGTTTTATTTTGTTGAGAGTAGAGGGGTCCTGGGACGCTGGACCCGGTTTCCAGCAAGGTTCTTGGTGACTCCGGGTTGAATTGTGAGGTCCCCGGCCTCAGCCACTGTTTTCCGAATATAAAGTGACAACTTCTCCAAAAAAAAAAAAAAAAAAAAAAAAAACCATTCCTCGCAAGATCCTCTATCAATTCCTTGGCTCTTCCTGGCTCCGATTCCCGCTATTACCGAGCAACGAATAACAAACGTACATCGGATTCGGCTACTACTGTAGTCATGACCAAAGCCGATGCCCGTCCTCTTCAACTCAGCCGCGCAACCAACATGCAAACCATCAATAGATTCGGAGATCAACGCAACCCAAGTCGCATACATGGTTCCCGAGTCAACATCCTAGTACTACATGATTTAAAGAGAGAACTCGTATCAAACGACGCACGAGATTGAACGCAATTATCTATTGTTTTCAATTGCCTCCTGCCTCAGATTGGACAAGTATCAGGACCTGTCAATTACATCCGATCCGTGGTTCATCGGACTCGGAAAAAAAAAAAAAAAAAAAAAAAAAAAAAAAAAAAAAAAAAAAAAAAAAAAAAAAAAAGCCAATTATCTCAATTTTTTAAATTACACGTAGTTCTCACAAGGCCTGCGTACCTCCCTCACCCCCGAGGCAAGCAACATCGATTTCATGACATGGCCAACCGGCGGCATCAGGGCAAGGCTGCACTGGTGCTGTACTCCTTGTCGGAAGGGCCTTACGATCGGAGAACGGCGGTTCACAGGCCGCATCTCGCCGCAGCTCATAAAGTCAAATTAATCATGAATAAAGCTGCCACGACTCCTTCCGCAGGGCGGCAAGAAGGTCCTGCAGGTCCTCGTCGAGGGCACGGTCTTCCACGACCAGCTTGATGCGTTGACCGAGATCGGCGATGAAGGAATCCAGCACCGGCGACAAGGACAAGCTGCCATCAACCTGCCCTCGCAAGGTCACGCCCTGCCGCGCCGCAATCAGCATTGCCGCAGTGACCTGTTCGGTCAGCTCGAGAACACGGAGGCAATCGCGGGCTGCGATGGTGCCCATGCTCACCTTGTCCTGATTGTGGCACTCCGTGGACCGCGAAAAGACGGAAGCAGGCATGGTGAGCTTCAACGCTTCCGCCGTCCATGCCGACACGCTGATCTGCAGTGCCTTCAGCCCATGGTTAATGGCCGCGCGGTGGCCGACTGTGCCCGACAGATTTGAGGGCAGCCCGTGGTTAAAACGCGGATCGACCAGCAGTGCCAGCTGGCGGTCCAGCAGGTCGGCCACGTTGGCCACCGCGATCTTCAGTGTGTCCATCGCGAAGGCGATGTGGCCGCCGTAGAAATGCCCGCCGTGCAGAACGCGCWCCTCGTCGCCGAGAATTATGGGGTTGTCATTAGCGCTGTTGAGCTCGCTCTCAATGATGCTTCTGAGCCAAGGCAGCGCGTCTTCGAGCACGCCGATTACGTGAGGGGCGCAGCGCAGGGAATAGCGATCCTGCAGGCGGCGTTCTTTGGCTGGTGCACGGTCCGTTTGCAGATCGCTTCGCAGGCGCGCCGCCGCTCGCTGCTGGCCAGGATGAGGCTTAACGGCATGCAAGCCCTCGTCGAAGTGCCCMGGATTGCCAGCGGTGGCGACCACAGTGCACGCTGTGAGCCGCGTTGCAAGCCGGCTGAAGTAGTCGGCTCGCCGCCATGCGAGGCAGGCCAGCGCCGTCATCACGGAGGTGCCGTTCAGGACTGCTAGACCTTCCTTGGGGCGGAGCCGCAGAGGTCGGGCGCCGATGGCATCCAGCGCCTGCGCCGCGTCACAGGTCTCCCCGCGGAAAAGCACCTTGCGCTCACCGCAGAGCGCCGCTGCCACGTAGGACAGCGGCGTGAGGTCGCCACTCGCGCCGACGGAGCCCTCGGCGGGAATCAGCGGCAGAATGTCGTGCACCAGGAGTAATTCGAGCTGCCGCAAGAGGTCTAGGCTGACCCCGGACACCCCTCTTGCCAGCGAGGCAAGTCGGACGGCGAGTACCGCTCGCGTCTCCGCGGCAGTGAGCATTCGACCTGCACCGCAGCCATGGAAGGTGTATAGCCGGTGCGGCAGTTCTTCGACCAGATCTGCAGGAATGCTCACGGTGCAGGAGTCCCCATAACCGGTAGTCACGCCATAGATCGCCTTCTCCTCACGCAGAAGGCGATCCAGAAAATTGGCTCCCAGAGAGATAYGGCTGCAGAACTYCGGATCRTCCGACAGCCGTACCGGCATGGAACGCCGAGAGATGGCGACGATGTCTTCGATCCTCAGATGGCTGCCGTCGAAACAGATTCCTGCCGAGTCGTGATAGTGACCATTTTGCGGAGGAGTCGTGGCTGGCTCCAGCAGGGCCATCTTGACGGCTTCGAACGGCAACCGATCACTGATACTTCTCCACGCGCGAGCAAACTTTAAGGCGGCAAGAAACTCTCAGGCAAATGAAGAGAGCGTCCGTCCCACAGCACAGGATCAAGCCTTTCTCCTCCCGGCGCCCACGCAGCAGAAGAAAGGCTTGATCCACAAATTCACGAAGACTTCAAGGCGAACGATTCCTACGAAGCCTTACGAAGCCTTACGAAGGCGGATGGAATGCCGCCAGCACGCTGCCGAACGCCTCTCTAAGCCACCAGTCGTAGCTCACGGCACTCCCATCCCCCGCAGGCTCCAATCGACAACTGTCATGCAAAAGCCAGACCACTACAAATTGCCCCCCTCCCCCCCCGCTCTTCTGCAGTCGAAAACCCCCTCCCTGCCTAACTTCAACGATTGACAGCGAGAGTCAGAATCACCTAGCAGAGCGTCCTTGTCACCGCGTCTTCAGTGGGTACACAAGGAATCCCTCGTCCGTCGTCAAACAGTTGAAACCATCACTCGATTCATGTCAATGGAGCCGTCATACTGCGCCTATCTTATACCCGCAAGCCCACGATTCTGATTATTCCCACCATCCACTCTGGCAGATTACGACTAGTAAGAAGAAACTACTATAAGCGGCACGACGCGGGGTGGCGGCACTCCCTCGATGAGACCAGGGAACTATGGAAAAGCTGGCGTGATTGCTTCTTCCCTCCACTCTGGCAGATTACGACTAAGGAGCTATAAAACGCTCGCAGGGGAAGTCCCTCGATTGACTTAGGAACTCGCTGCTGTGGAGAGAGGCAACGTAACGAGCACGTAGTCCTGAGGCTCAGAACACTGCGTCCGTATGAGTGTAGTGTCATACAGCCTAGAGTTGCGACTTATCACGTTCAGCCATCAGCGCTGTAATCCAAGCTTCATCACACAAGCTTACATAAGCAACATGGAGGGACTCATTACACGCGGAGAGAAGCGAGCGATCGATCGAGCGATAGAGAGAGAGAGCAGGCGCAATAGGTGCTCTTGATTGTAAATGCTTAGAAAGTACCGAAGAGCGAGGCGGGCGGCGTCCCTATGCCGCATTTCAGCCTTCGTCAGCAGGGAAAGCGTCTTCATGGGACATTAGCACCTGATGAAACATGCTCTATCGCCAACTATTAAATACTGGATCTACTACGGGCTGCCTAGGAGAGTTCGTCCGTACTTCCTTCCTCAAATGTGCGACTAGAAGAGCGGGAATGCTGCATAACACTGCTGATTTTCGAGTTCAGTCTGGATCAGGAATTCGGTCTTTGGAGTGCACCTGGAGTCTAGGCGGACAACATCGTGCTGGCCGTGTCGTGTAGCTCTCTCAAAGAGCGGTCTCACATCCGAGAGGCCTTCTTTGAGTTTGAACTTCTAGAGTACGTGGAGCGATGTTGGGCCTCGCTGCACTACTCTTGAAATGCACAAAAGCCAAAAATCATGGCCGTGTATCTTTCCATGTTCTAGCGGAACTACTCTTGAAATGCACAAAAGCCAAAAATCATGGCCGTGTATCTTTCCATGTTCTAGCGGAAGATTCACTCTCGTTTTGCACATTTCGAGAGTAGTGCAGCGAGGCCCGTTCTCTTTTTCGGTCACTCTAGAGTAGTGGAGCGAGACACTTTCGTTTTTGTTTTTTTTTTGCGAATCGACTGTTTCGAGTGGGCCTTGTCACACAAGACCACTCGAGGTCTTTGGAGGAAACGCTCGTGACAGGCGGGAGGATCTCATCTCTTCCAAATGGCATTCGAGGGGCGATTTTTGTCATGGCCAAGTGGACTCCGGGCAGTCCCTCACAATGCAAATTCCAAAGCAATTCTCGAACGGAAATTGGACGCAAGGCCAAGTGGACTTTGGGCACGCTCACACTAGGTACCAAATCCCCATTGATCTTCTAGAGTACGTGGAGCGATGTTCTCTTTTTCGGTCACTCTCGAAAATCTTCGAGAGTCTAGAGTAGTGGAGCGAGACCCTTTCGTTGTTTTTTTTTTTTTTGCGAATCGACTGTTTCGAGTGGGCCTTGTCACACAAGACCACTCGAGGTGTTGACAGGCGGGAGGATCTCGTCTCTTCCAAATGGCATTCGAGGGGCGGTTTTTKTCATGGCCAAGTGGACTCCGGGCAGTCCCTCACAATGCAAATTCCAACGCAATTCTCGAACGGCAAATGGACGCATGGCCAATTGTCATGGCCAAGTGGACTTTGGGCACGCTCACACGAGGTACCAAATCCCCATTTCCCCCCCAAAAAAGGGTTCCCGGACAGTCGCACATGGTGAACAACTGCGCAAATTCTCAAAAGGGGTCACCATTTGTCAGCGGCCTGCGAAGCCGCGGGGGGAGGAATTTTTTTTTCAGACGAGGTAAACCTTATTCACCCAAGAATTGGGTGAAAGGAAAAGAGGTTATCTGCTTCACTACAATAGAGAATCATCACATATTTTTCCACAGTATTTGCATCGCAAATTGTAGTTGCCCATTAGAAAAATGAGCTCCTCAGTACGTCCGGGATTTTTCTTTGAACGCTCTCCCTTTTTCGACAGCTACCCCTCTAGCTGTCCCTCACCCTTTGCACCTCCTGCCCATCTCTTTCTTCCCCCCTTTTCCCCTACCTGACTAAGCATGTGAAGAAGCAGCGAATTGTTACTCCGTAAGTTATCTCCCCGATCAATCATGCAACGTCACAGCGAATTATGGAGGACGGTCTGGCGCCCAACAGAAAAACCCAGAGCCCCCTCCCCTTATTTGTCTTCGGAAGTCTATTCCAAGAACGGCACCACGTGATCGTTCCCGGAAGATCATGCTGGGGGCAAGGAGGCGAAGCAATACTTCTGAGGCCAGCCTGCCCAGCCTCTCTGCTGCTCATCATGCATGACGTATCTCTGTCCCGCCTATGAAATGGATGAATGATTCTGAAGTCTTTTCCCACGGCCGACAATTGAATACTATTTCAGGGAGCGCCCTGCAAAAGGGAGCAAATGATTTTTCACCTTCCGGTATCATCATCAACTCCTCATCGGAGAGAGATGAGAAGACCATCCGAAACAAGTTCGGGTTATAATCTGAAATGGCGGTTCCACTCGCTGTGGKGACCAAAARCTTTGCGCATTTGTCTCAGTGGATGCATATATATTCTAACTTCAACGAATATTTATGCATTTATTTTTGGTCACGAAATGTCGAATGAAACATGATATTCTAAATGGCGATAACGAAATGCATTCCATACTTGCAGCTCGGTGAACTAAACTTGTCCACAGAATGTGAATCTCCCTAGAAAAGCAGCTCCCACAGGCTTCTGAAGGAAGCCACTTGCGTTGCAGATTCGAAGGAAGCCACTTGCGTCGCAGATTCCTTTGAGGAGGCAGCGTGCGAGTCTTCGAAAGACAGTTCCGACGGAGGGAGGGAGACGCTGGAGGGTGCTGCGGTGGACGACTGGGACGGCTCCTCACCAAAACACATGCTCAAGATCGTGTTACCTACATCCTCGTCGACGATGACGGCGTCCTCGAGCGGAATGAGCGTCACCGTGGGGTCTGTGGGTCTGGCTTCCTGGACTGTCATGCTGTCCACTCCGTCGTCGCTTGTCAGCCTGATCGAGCCATCCGCGTCCTCAGTGACGGCGATGCCCTTGCCCCCAACCGTCCACAGAGACCCGTCCTTAGTCAGATTGAGCAGCTGTTTGGGAGTTTTCACCTGCGGACACTGGCATTCATGGGCACGACAACCTGAAGGTACTTCAAGAAACTCGCGAGGGTCGCCTGACCGGGCTCGTTTTGCAGACACGTCATCACCTCCTCGCTGAGCGCAGTGCTGAAGGCCGCGTTCGTGGGAGCGAACAGGGTCAATTGCTCGCCGACGAGCACCGTGCGCCCCTCCACATTCCATATTTCCGTGGTATCCACCAGCGCCGTGTAGAACATGGAAAATTCAAAACTGCGTCTCGTTCTTAAGAATCTCGAACACTTTCGCGTCCTTGCCTGTCTTCGCCATCGCCGCGCTACCGGTAGGGGCTGCCGCGCTAGGAGCAGCACTATTGAAGGCAGTCCTAGCCATCGCCACGTGAGGGCTGGCGCTAATGAAGATAGCCAAGGCCATGGTCACGGCAGTGATCTTCGTAGCCGTCTTCATCTTCATCGTCTCTCTTGGTCCGACCTGCCGGGACAAGGGGGGAGGAGCTGCAACGAGATACCGTCTCCAAGCGTGCGAGTGAGTAAGCAATGCTTCCAATGCTTACGCGCTCCCGACACCTTAGTAAACCGATGCGTCCGATCTCTGTCTCACCTTCTCACCCAGCAATTTCCGGCTACCATCACCAGCTGGGCAAAGAAGTCAGTCGCGCTCTCACCGGGGGAGGAAATTTGCGGTGACCTCTGGAGGTTACCGCAAATTATCAATCTTTTTCCGAATTGCCGTGCAAAATTGGAGAAAAAATGGAACCCCACGATATTAGCTGCCTATCAATTGACGAAAAGGAGATTTGGGGAAATGGGCGCACGCGCGGAGCGGTCAGACGCAAGGCGCACCAGCAGAGAGGTTCGTACGGACACCCGTTGGTGCGAACGGCCAGCAGTAACGACCCAAACAAAAAAAAGGAAAAAACAGATCACAAAAAATGAATAATTGCATTTCCCATTTGAGGTATCCAGCGTGTGACCGGCGCCCTCCACAAGCACCTCGCAGAGAGCGATGTAGAGACCTTGTCGTTAGCTTGTGACCGGCCAGGGTACCTAGTGTGAGCGTGCCCGGTTGAGGTGAAGCGGGCTGTTCCGAAGGAAGTGATATCAACCGGTGGAGGTGATCTATTTCGTCCTAATTTACGGTTGGCTTATAGATTTCTGTAGGCCAGAATCGTTGTTTATTGCTTTTATACTTCACTGCCTTCTCTAGTGCTTCGAATCATAGAACCACGCTGGTGAGTTGGCTTTTTACCAAGTTTTTTTTTGGTTTTTTTTTTACAAAAAAAGGAGTATATTATATCATCACAGGCTGGAAAACGGGTCCAGCGTCCCTCGCATCAATAACCACGGCCTGCAGGGATGAACCAGGCTCGTCCACCCGGATTAACCCCACGGCGGCACCCGCAAACCTGTGACGTGGCACCCTAATTAACTATGATTAACACCACACTCTAGTTAACTGTAATTAACATCCCGCCTTAATTGGCAGAAATCAACACCACCAACCCTAACACCGTAATAAACTGTGATCAACAACACTCCCTAAGTAAATGTAATTAACATCCCGCCCTAATTGACACAAACTAACAGCACTAACCCTAACAACTGAAACACAGACCAACTTAGACCATYGATAAGTAAGGCAACCGAAAGTCTACACCCCCAACCCTAGATGCTAAAAAACCGGCAGAATTCCACCCAACAATCAACAAAACAAACAGCAAATTGAACTAATTAACCCTCCTACTGTACACAGACTTAAGAGCCTATTAAGGATGAAGATTCGCGAACTGCACCACGCCCAAAGTAGGAGCAACTGCAACGCTAAGCGACGCCGATCACAGCTTGAAGCCCGTTGTCGACGACGGTGGGCGATACCCGTCACAGCTAAGCTCTAGTGTCGCTCTCCCGTAAGCCAGCGCTTGTCGATGCGCACGCGTCTCTCATCTCCCCATGAAACTCCAGCTTCTGACTCCGTATCAAAGCCAGGGGACAAAATCCCTGACAGGTTTCACGTACTGGTATGTACGGCGCCCAGATCCCGCCCTTCGGACCACCACACATCTCCTCCTTCCTCCCGTAGTCTCTCGAAGAATGCCAGCATACACCGACCGGGACCAGGATATGCAGAAGCATTTCAGTGCTTCCTCAAGGCAGCCCCCACCCTGCGCCCACGCGCCTCTTCTCCCTCACCGCCTCCGCCACCCCAACCCTAGGTTTTGGCACCGTGCAGCACTGATCGCAGCTGCACAAACGCGATCCCCCACAGTTTATTACGGTGTTAGGGTTGGTGGTGTTGATTTCTGTCAATTAAGGTGGGATGTTAATTACAGTTAACTAGAGTGTGGTGTTAATCACAGTTAATTAGGGTGCCACGTCGCAGGTTTGCGGGTTTTCTTTTTTTTTTTTTTTTTACAAAAAAAGGAGTATATTATATCATCACAGGCTGGAAAACAGGTCCAGCGTCCCTCACATCAATAACCACGGCCTGCAGGGATGAACCAGGCTCGTCGGCCCGGATTAAACCCACCGCGGCACCCGCAAACCTGCGACGTGGCACCCTAATTAACTGTGATTAACACCACACTCTAGTTAACTGTAATTAACATCCCGCCTTAATTGACAGAAATCAACACCACCAACCCTAACACCGTAATAAACTGTGATTAACAACACTTCGAAGTTCAGCATCAAGTAGTACGGCTCCTTGTTTTTTTTCTTTTTTCTTTTTTTGTGGAATTACCTTGAGCTTCAAGAGATTTTGGAAGATGAGAGTAGATTAGTGAAGGAAGGGACGCTGGCCCCCTTTTCCAGCACGGTTCCGTACCTTCCGGGTTGTTTGTGAGGAATTCCCGGCCTCCTTTCCATTGTAAAAAAAACTAATGATTCTTAAAAAAAAAAAAAAAAAAAAAAAAAAAAAAAACGAGTCCCGGAGGGAGGAAACGAATGCGGGAGGGTGGCTGTCGAGCATACCACTCTGACACCTGTCGAAAATTTTTTGAGCCGCAATTCTTCCAAAGTCAAAGGGGCTCGCCACACCACTGTCGTTTTTTTTTTGGACCATTTCTCGATTTGTGCGTGTCATCCTTGTGCAGGGCCCATGCTAATCTTCTCTGCATCGTTCCAATTTTAACGGACGTCCCGAAGGACAGCCACACCACTGGCGAAAACACTATTTTCAATACTTTCTCGTGGTCACACAGCCCCTCGAAACTGGARAAGGGAAGACAATTCGCAAGTTGTTTGAGAATGCCCAGATTGACTGTTCCCCCCCCCTTCGCCACACCACAGAGAATGTGCCTGAGGGTACGACAAGCATCAGTCCATCCCCACCTTACCCCCACTCACCAAATTTCGAAGCGAAGGGCCTAGTTCCACTACTCTCCATAGGCCAAGTTTGGAGAGTAGGCGCCTGCCAGTGGTTGCACTTACTGGCCAAACTTGGCGAATGCAAAATGTGTCAGACGGCTCGCCACACTGTCGACACAAGCTGTGGAGAGTGAATTCGGTTTCCCTGCCTGTGCACGGCAGTTAATGCAAAATGTGTCAGACGGCTCGCCACACGGTAGAGTCGGTAGACACAAGCTGTGGAGAGTGAATTCCGTTTCCGCCTGTGCACGGCGGTTTGTGGAAGCCCCGGACCTCTCCACAAAACAACTTTCTGGAGAGTGCAGGGCTTCAGGAGTCTACATCAGGTAGACAAAAAAATTTAACTTTTCTGCAGAAGAAATCTAGCGGCGAGTAAGTGCAACCAGGCCTCGAGTTCGACACGATTCTCATTTTTTTCACTCTCCACACATCCGCCACGAAATGTGACAGATGGCGAGTAGTGCGACTAGGCCCGAAGTCTACGGCGCAGCCGAGGAGTGTTGAAAGTATCGGAGTAGCAGGCTGGCGATTCAACAACTTTCGACAGAAGGTGTCAAGAAGCATTCTCTGACAACTTGCAAATTTTCTTCCCGTCTCCGACTTCGACCGTCTGTGTGGCGAAGAGGAACTGTCGAAAATTGCATTTTCAATAGTGGTGCGGCGAGACCCTGATACTCCGTTGCATTCGACAGTGCTCGGCTGCGCCATGGACTTCTCTTCTAAATTTTGGTGAGTGGGCGTGAGGTCAGGGATGGACTATGCTTGCCATACCCTCAGCCGCATTCGTGCCGGCGTGAGGTCAGGGATGGACTATGCGTGCCGCTGCCCGGTATTGCCTGCGCCTGCACTGGTCGCAATTGTCTTGTGGCTGCCGTTTGTCGTAGCTGCTGTGCACGTAGTGCGTCATGCAAGTCCGTCTGTCGGTGGTCATACAGTGTTTGTTTTCGCTGTCTTTTATTTGGTCTGTTTTCCTGCATCGGTTGTAGCTTCTGCGTCTTGTTCCCTCTTCTTGTTTTGCTCTTGCAAGTAACGGGGAGGGGATTCGTGGCAATGCTGAGAAGCAGTTCCCTTCTTCGTGCAATCCTGGCAGCTGCGGTGTTAATGTGTAGAGCCGTGGTGGCAGTGTTGATAATGCCGGCAGTTGCTGGAGTAGTATGCTCACCTATGTGTAGCATATGCATGCTGGCTACATCGGCTGCGTGTGGGAAAGGTGCAGCCCTGTTGGCATCGTTGATAAGCGTGCAGGCATTGCGTACAAGGGGAGGTAGGTTGTTCATGTACGGTGCATTGCTGTGTGAGATGGTAGTGCGGTTTGCGAGTGTGCTAGGAACAACGTTTGTGGTTTCTCTGAGATTGTCCGCAATGGTGTGTGTCGTGCTTGGGTGAGTGTTATGTTGTGCTGTGGGTCTGTCGGTTGTGTATGGTATAGCATTTGTTGTGGTCGGCGTGTTGTGTGCCCTTGGGACGGTGTTTGCTGCTCTTTCAGTAGCAACAACCATTTCGTCAAAACGGACATATTATATTTTTTGAACGAAATCAAAACTGA